ATACAACTTGATGATCAAGAGAGTAAAAACAATAAAACTTGATTGACAAATATAATAATTCGACAATGCCAAGTGGTTCTCTTGTGTTCTTTCTAAAATCAACACACACTAGCGAATCAAATTTTAGAATAACCTAGTTTAACAATAAATTATTGAAAAAAAAATTTAATTCAAAGTTATGGTTACCTCAAATTACAATCTTCAGGACCAAGTGACAGAAAGACTGGGAAGTTGAAAGAAAAATGATTACAAAGTTATGATTATTTTGGTTTTTGTTAATTTTTTAGGTTATTTTCAAAAGCAAAAGAAAAAAAAATTGCATTTGGACAGATTGAGGCCATTAATTTCACTAGCCTCTATGTGACAATTGGCCTTTGTATATTTTTTATTTAAGAAACTCAATTTTTTTCTATTTATACAATTTAAATTTAAAATATTTTTTAAAATAAATAAGAATTTAAACAAAAACCACCCAGAGGTTTTGTTATTTTTTTTCTCAAGTTGAAAATTTTAAATTCATTCAAAATTAATATTTGTTGAATTATTTTAACTCTTTTTTATTCTTGTAATTTTAAAAATTTTAAAGAGCAATTTATCTTTAATTTCATAGATTTGAAAAAAAACAAAAACTATTGTCTACAAGGTGTTTTGAACTTCCCACCCCAATGAAAACGGAGTGGAACCGTTTCCACTGCACCAATGAAATAACTGTGATGTTCTTACGTTTTCTTTATTTATATTTTATATACAGGATGTATAAAAAAATTTGCCCCCCCCCCTCCCCCGAACTTGGGGGCCCTAGGCAACCGCCTACCTCGGCTACCCTCAGGGCCAGCCCTAGCTACAATACACCATGATGTACTACAGTACTAGTTTTATTCGAGGAGAAATTTTGAGTAGGGCTTTTGCATAGAGCAACTCTCGCATAGGGACATGATCAGTGTCGAGCCAGATGAAACTAAAATGAAGGGGATTGTATTTGTTTGTGTGGTTCGTTGGACAAGACACGTTGTCAGCAGCTTGATCGAAGATTTTCATGTTCTAGTTCTGTGAAAGTAAAAAGTAACATTTTCATCGGTTTTAGAAAAATTCAAATTTATAGGTCGAATCTTGTCATAAACACAAATGCTCAAGTAAATTGGGTTCAAGTCTTCTGGTAATTATCAAATGGAGTAATGTTTATATTCTTCTTCTTCGTGCATATTTTATTGTTCTTGTTATGTGATACAGTGATATAGTGGTAGCCTAGGTAATAGCAGCTGTACGAGTAAAACCATATACTGGTACAGTCTGCTTATGAGGGAGTTGTTTATTAACTGTGCGAGACACCTTTATGCCATAATCAACACAGCCTAATTAAGATTAAAATGGCCGTTAATCTGTCATTACTAATCAGAAACCACTAATTAATAGAGTTATTGATAATGTTAGGCACTGCTATCATTCTTTATACAGTTAATTAAATACTTATCATTAACAATGAATACTTTACATCTTCCCCAGATTATCCACCTTTTCAGGTTTTTGTATTCTTCTTTTCAAAAGTTTATATGTACTTACATATAAATACACTATACAACAAATCATCAAGAAATATGGTAAATACATGCACGGAGAAATGATATTCGAATGGCTCAAACCTAGTCTCAACTCTTAAGGTTTCTGAGCAGAAAACATGATGAAGGATTGTTGAACGTTGCTCGTGTAGTTGGTGAGACCGCATGATGTACACAAGTCTGCAATCTCCTCCTCCGTTAAATAGTTATAGCTCTGACGAGCCCTCTGCCATATTAACACCTTCATATTAACACTTGTTTAAGTTTATAATCACCCTTAAACAGATCCTAGCTGGCTACTGCTAGTGAGTCGTCTCTCACGAAAATTCAACTATTTGGACCACAGTAACGATTAGGTTTCCTTCATTCACGACAATTTATATGGAACTAGAAAAGAAATGTGGATATTACGCAATTGTTGTTTTGAACACACATTCTATGACTGGCATATACAGATAGAAAATTGACAGGTCTGACCCAAATCTAGCATTGATCACATTTGGTAATCATTGATTAAGTATTACCTCTATGAGTTGCCGGGGTATCCAGGAAGTAGATGGAGTATACCGCAGAAAAGTGGTTCCGACAAAGACAGCACCACTTCGTAATATGCGAGTTATTTCAGCAATCTGAAAATTAAATGAGATATGAGTTCAAAATTAATAGAAGCTTTGTTGCATCCAAACACATCTGCATGGAGTAAAACAAAGAAAATTTTACAAGATTCGACAGTGTATGACTTTCAGATGCAACAAATAGAGGTCTACCAGAGAACAGGTGCTATAAGCAAACCACCCGAGAGCTAATTTCATTAATTACACCCGAAAAGATGTATCTAATATGGGAGCCAAAGACGAGAACACCAGAATTTGTGGAGTACTATCTTTCTTCTATCGAAAACTGCAGTGTGTTCCATGTGAACTAACTCTGCAATGGGGCACACACTATGGCATGTGCATTAATAGAAAGTTTGTAATTCCACAAAAGCTGAAATCTTTTACCTAAAGGTTAGATTTCTGATTCTAATTGACCCACATACAGTATAACTAAGATTGTTAGGTTCGTTAATCACTACCTGCTCTCTCTTCCTTGCTGACCAGGTATGTACTGCCACTAGCCTGTTAGATTACTCAGCTAATCTCCTAGCAAGCATAGTCCCCCATCCAAAACACTCCACGCAATAATAAAGGGTTTTGCATTAGCATTCAAAATTGGTGTCCAAACCCAAGTTGAAGAGCTACTAAGACAACACCCTCGGGTCTGACGTGAGCAATTTCCGGAAAGAACAGAAGAAACTTATCAGGGTCTATTTTATAACATGCTGGAATTCTCAAAAGGTATCATCCATCTATTTCTCACACACCATGGCACCATAAGATGCCTACTTCTTTTGGTCACTTGTAAGGAGCCATGGTGTTTACTCACCTCTAAGTTTTACTCGCTATTTCACATTTCATCTCATATTCCTAATTACCAATCAGTCCAGATTTCAATGGTTCAAAGATTAATTCCCCATATGGTGCCTTTCACCGTGAAATTCTCACAAGTTACCAAAATAGCAGGCGACTTGCGTTAGACACTACGCAGTTCATCCTCTGACTTCACATACTAGCACCTCCAATACCATAAAAGGTACGCAGCCAACACATTTGTTTTGACGCACAAAACAAAATTGTTTTGGGGAATCTGGAAACAGCAGGGAAAGTCAAAATTAATGGAAGAGATACAATCCTAATCTTGCTGGTCTTAAACCATCCAAACCCAACCACTCTTAATAGACATACAATCCTAAGCGCTTAGTAACTTGAAGGAGAAGAAAAACACAGGAAACAGAACTCACGGCATTGGAAGGAGAAGGCCAACAATGTAATGCTGCGCCAGCATGGACAGCATCAACTGAACCCGAAGGGAACGGAAGCCTAGCAACATCCGCCCTCACAAGGGCAAGATTACTGCACTTATTCCAGTGAACTTTAAGGATAAACATCTCATTTTACTTATAAACATTGATCACTCAGAAGAACAGACACAAACTTACGTATCTAAAAGAGTAGGATCTCTCTTAAAAAATTCATAACTCTGCCGAAGCATGTTCTCCGAAAAATCAAGTGCAACAACTCCAGAATATGTCCCCGATTTCGCAAACTTCCTCGAAAACAAGCCGCTGCCACAGCTCACATCCACCAAAACACCGCCTTCGGCGGATTTAAAGTAGTCCTGAGCCATCTTAAACTGCAAACCACATAAGAATCTAAACTTGCTAAGCAATCCAAAACTCAAAATTAAGCAAGAAAACAAACCTAATTCACCAAAAACCGCGCAGAAAAAGAAACCACATTTACTGATTGACCTCTTCATCGGGACCCGGAAATCCCCTGCGGTTAAAATTCTGGCGCCAACCCCTTTCATACAAGAAGGAAACAATAGGGCTCCGGAACAACTCGGTCCCGGCCGGTTTTACCTCAACGTACTCCTTCAACCCAGCAGTAACAGTAAGGTCCAAGTAAATGTCTTTGCTTGAATACGACTTGTCGCATTTCCTGCACTTGAACCCCGACCTGTAAATTGCTCGCCTGCACAATTTGCAAACCACAAAACAAAATTGAAACATTTACGACACCGATTTCAAGCAAAAGACTGAGGCTTTGTGTCGTATTTTTACTCACAGGTTGAGACCCGGCGGGCCTTTCCGGATGAGCGGCTCGTAGCATACTGGGCAGGCTAGCAGCTCGAGGTCAACGCCGGAGCTTTGACCTTCCTCGGCGGTCGACCGCCGCTCCTGCAAAATCAGAACTTTGAAATTTAAAGGGAAAGTGGAAGCGTAAATTGGGGAGAGGGGGGAGAATGAGGCGGTACCGGTTGGAGAGTGACGGTAGAGGTGGCGCGAATGGGGTGGGAGGAATGGCGGGAGGTGAGGCAGAGATGGGGAGGGCGGAATTGAGTATTGTGATGGAGGGGAGGGTAGCTTAGGGATAGAAATGTTTGGTGGAGAGGGTGGAGAGTGGAGGAGGAGGGTGTCGTCGCCATTGGAGATTTTGATCTCTGCCGCTGCTGCTTCTTCTTTTGAAATTGGCGGAGAGTGAGAGTTGAAACAGCAAAAATTTGGCGGAGAAAGAGACACGGAGGCAATAGTATACGACGTCACTTTCAAACCAAACTTATCCTAATACATTCAACATAATTTTTTTAATACTACTCTCACGCCTCACATTTTAACCCCGCACAAAATTACGTGCTCGTCCTAGAAACTCGGTTTTTCTTCCCAAATTTTTAACTACACATAATAATTCAATGTAATCTCTTGCCTGCTATATACAAACGTATGAAATAGATTCCTAAGGAAATTACCATTATTTGGAAAATCTAGTTTTTCTTGTTTCTCAACTACCTGATCTACTCCTTACGTACAAAAAACAGAAGATATCGAGGATTGAGAAGATGTAGTCCTAAAAGGAGTGTACAAGACCTCCCAAATTTGTTGAATATGAGAGGAAAGAGATTATTTCTTTGCAAAAAAACACAGAATCCAAAATATCTATGTAGATCCATCTTAAAATTTATAATTCAATACTTTCAAATTTACGAATTGGATCAACTAAGAAAGAGTGGTTCTTTGTATCAATAGTAGCATTCGAACTTTGTTGTGATCTCTATTTTAACTATTTGAGTTACAAGACTTCTTGCGTGGTCTATAATGATGGCCCGCACGCTGTTTGCTACACAGCCGGTTTCCGAGCAGAAAACATGATGAAGGATTGCTGAACTTTGCTCGAGTAGTTGGTGAGACCGCATGATCTACACAAGTCCTCAATCTCTCTCTCCGTTAAATAGCTATTGGAGCTCCGTGACATCTTCTGTTCATCACATATATATTAAACATCTTGATCAGATACGTTAATCATTGAATTAGTGAGAATAAGTTACAGTTAGTAATTAGTATACCTCCCTAAAAGGCTTGAATATCCATGGAGTATAAGGACTAGAACGCAGAAAAGTCGTTCCCACAAAGATGGCGCCACTGCGTAATATACGAGTGATTTCAGCAACCTAAAAAACAACAAATTAATTATCAGGAATGAGGGACTCCGATTTGTCTGCCAGGTCGAATTACTCATCACACGTAAAGAGCCAAGTACTTTCCCGTAATAAATTTAGGGTGGAGATCGACTAGTTCCGTATTTACATGACCATGAGAGTTCATGTAAAATTCTGAATTGTAACAAAAAAAAAAAATTCGAGTAAACATAATTAAATGCTAGCTAGCCAGTTGGCCGCCGGCGAGTAACACACTTACGGCGTTGGATGGAGACGGCCAGCAATGCAATGCAGCGCCGGCGTGGACAGCATCAACAGAACCTGATGCAAATGGAAGCCTAGAAACATCTGCCCTCACGAGACCAAGATTGCTACATATAAATTTGTTCCAATTAATCATGTCTGAGAGTACAAATTTGAAATACATGGGATTTTTATTTTAGGTTGAGCAAGAGCATACGTACGTAGCAAAAAGGGAAGCAGGATCTGCCTTCAGAAAATTGTAACACTGGCGAAGCATACTCTCAGAAAAATCGAGCGCCACTACTCCAGCAAAGACCCCGGATTTGGCAAATCTTCTGGAAAATAAACCGCTCCCACAGCTTACATCCACAACTACACCACCACTACCGCCACCTTCACCTTGATCAGTAGCGGATTGAAAGTAGTCCATAGCCATTTTAAACTGCGTATGTACGGAGGACATAATTAACAAGTGTATTACGAACGTAGTGCATGTAGAGAGTACTCTTATGTATAGCGCGCATTGCGTACCTCTTGATCAGGTCCAGGGAAGCCGCTTTGGCCAAAATACTGACGCCAACCTCTTTCGTACAAGAAGGAAACGAGGCGATATCTGAAGAAGTCAGTCCCGGCTGGAATGGGCGCAATGTACTCCCTCAATCCACCGCTAACAGTAAGATCCAGGTAAATGTCTTTCTCTTTGCTCTTACTACTGCTGTTATACAACTTGTGGCATATCTTGCACTCGAAAGCCGACCTAAATATTGCTTGCCTACAAAAACACAAACAAATTACAAAATGGTACAGTTACGATGTTAATGAAGTCAGATGGAGAAGTACTACTTACAGGTTGAGACCGGGGGGGCCTTTTCGGATGAGCGGTTCGTAGCACACAGGGCATGCTAACAGCTCAATGCCATCGCCGGAGCTTTGAGTTTCGGGTTGGAAAGTAAGTAGGGAGCTTGCATTTCCGGTTTCCGTTGCTTGGTGAAGAGACGAAGAAGCCATCGCCAAGAAAAACTAGTACTTCTTTACTTCTTGTTTTTCTTCTTCTAAACCCCAATTATAATGTGTTTCATCAAAATAAAGTTTACGTCGGTGTGGCCATAACCAAAACATGTCAGAATCCGTGGACTTTGGGAAATCTGCATTCTACAGAAACCCCATGACTGAGATAGACTTTTCGGTTTACCATAAATATATACCGAAATATCAAGTGACACAAAACAATTAAGTAGATACTTAAAATAAATTTTTAAACAATTATTTTATAACACTTAATGTATCAAGTTGTATTCTCGGTACATTGAAAATTTTCTTATGACCGAATACATGTCTGAATCAACCCTTGGACTTGGTACCAAATCTTCTATCTCTCTAGTTGTGCCATTCGAGGACGAATTATGACTCTGCATTCTGCCGCAGCAATTAGTATGCAAACTTTGATGGTTACAAGATAGAGAGCATATGTTGAGGCTGGTAGGACGCATGCACCATGCTATTTTCTTTTGAATTTGAAAATAATTTTAATTACTAGCTGTTAGACTAAATAAATTAAACAAAAAGTCGAAGACATAAAAAATGAAGAAGTGCAAGAGGGTAATATGCGAAAATCATTTTACTAAATGCATATTTGAACTTAAGAAGTTCTTTAGCTTTTGATCCATCACCTTAAAATTACAAGTTTATGTATCTCATTTTTCTTCTAAAAGTGACATTAATGTAGAATATTTAGCTCATTGAGAGTTTTGAGCAATAATAATTGATTGCTATACATGAAGTTTTGAGTTCAATTATCTTTCTAATATTGTTTGTGTCAAAAAGAACACGGGACTACTACATAATACACTAATCAAATCTTAAGATAACTAGCATAATGTACAAAAACAGAACTTAAAGATAAAATCACTCAAATTTACTTGAAAAAACGAAAAAAAACAAACAGATTTAGAAAACTAATTAGATGCTTAATTACACACGAAAATGTTTAAATAACCACCCTCCTTGTCTTGGAATTCCCTTTGGCTCTCTTCAGAAAGCAGTTTTTGATTTGATGTAAAGACATTGCTTTCTTTCCCTCCCGTAGATAAGCCAGAAGACCTCAAGAGCTGCAGACACCATTGCCAACCCAATTGCAAATCCAGCTGCTGTGCTTTTCCAAACCATGACACTCCCCACTACTTATGTCTCTGAATGCAACCATAACAAATCTGCAGGTTTGCAGATTCGTCGAGAATTTTGTTAGTTTATAGATTTGATGCTGTTTTGGAAGCTTTCTTGTATAAAAGAAAACAAAGAGTTGCAGAGAGTATTCACTAGATGAGTGAACAAGAAGTTTCATTTCTCTTCTTTCTGGCAATCCAATGGACATTACCGAAAGCACTCACATTACAGAGCATTAGCACATTTCTCTCTCATATCAGAGAAAATACATCACAACCATTCATTTCATCTATCCTATGAGATAGCTACAGTTGTCACTCTATATCATTAACTCTCACTTAATCTAGAGCATCCATTTGGAATGTAATCCAAAGGCTATAATTAAAACAGGTAAACTGAAATGTTTTATTTCAGCTAAAAACACTTAAACACTAACACTCCCTTCTAAGTGTTTAGCTGAAATCACTCCTAAAGCCTTCCTCAAATACTCAAATTTATCTCTTGCCAATGCTTTTGTAAAGATATCTGCAACTTGTTCTTCAGTTTTGCAGTAAATCAGATCAATTTCACCATTCTGCAGTGCATCTCGGATGAAATGGAATTTTCTGTTTATGTGTCTTGTCTTATGATGAGCCACTGGATTCTTAGAGATTGCAATAGCTGAAGTGTTATCGCATAGAATTTGAGTAGGTTCCACTTGTTCCTCTCCAAAATCTGATAAGACAAACCTTAACCAGATGGCTTGTGCAGTTGCCTCTGCAGCACTAACATACTCTGCCTCTGCAGTGGACAAAGCTACACTGCTTTGTTTGATTGAGGCCCAAGAAAATGCTCCAGAACCAAAACTAAAAGCATATCCGGAGGTGCTCTTCATGTCATCTTCACTTCCTGCCCAATCACTATCACAGTATCCAATAAGCACATCATCCTTGCCTTTTTCATATGCAATTCCATAGTCCAGTGTGCCTTGAATATATCTTAGCACTCTCTTTGCAGTTCCCATATGTTTCCTGGTTGGATTATGCATGAACCGAGCAAGTAGACTTGCAGCAAACATGATATCAGGTCTTGTAGCTGTTAAGTATAACAAACTACCAACTATCTGCCTGTAAAGACTTTCATCAACTATTTCACTTCCATCTTCTTTGCTTAATCTTTCATTTGTTGCAAGTGGAGTTGCAACAGGTTTGCATTCTTTCAATCCGAATTTCTCTAACAGAGTCCTTGCATATTTCTTTTGATGCAGAAAAATACAACTCTCAGTTTGAATGACTCCAAGCCCCAAGAAATGATGCAATAGTCCCAAATCAGACATTTCATACTTTCCCATCATTTCTGTTTTAAACTCATTCATCAATGCAGCTGAACTTCCTGTGTATATGATGTCATCTACATACAGAGAAACAATAAGTATTCCTGCCTCAGTTGCTTTGATGTAGAGAGTTGCTTCACTTGGACTTCTGTGAAAACCAGAGTTGCAGAAATGAGAATCAATTTCTTTGTACCAGGCCCTTGGTGCCTGTTTCAACCCATACAAAGCTTTCTTGAGCTTGTAAACCTTGTCTTCCTTGCCTCTAATCACAAAGCCAAGTGGTTGGTCTACATATACTTCCTCATTTAGAACTCCATTCAGAAATGCAGACTTCACATCAAGTTGGAAAAGCTTCCATCCTTTATGTGCAGCAAGCCCAATTAAAGTTCTAATAGTGTCAAGCCTTGCCACAGGAGCAAATGTCTCATTGAAATCGATTCCAGGCTTTTGAGAGTATCCCTTAGCCACTAACCTTGCCTTATTCTTCTGTATAGACCCATCTAGGTTCAATTTTGTTTTATAGATCCACTTGACACCCACAACCGGCTTATCAAATGGTCTATCAACAAGTTCCCAGGTGCAATTCTTCTCTATCATGCCTATTTCTGCTTCCATTGCCTTCTGCCATGATTCATCTTTTACTGCTTCCTCAAAGTTCTCAGGCTCAATAATGCACAGATTGCATTTTGCATATATTCTGTCAAACTTTTGAACTTCAAAGGAGTATGATCATAGTCTTGAGGACCTGTGTTACTCTGCATTTGCACCAGTCTTGAATCATTTTCAATTGACTCATTTGCTTCAGATGAAGATGCTAAGAATTCATCATTTTCATCACTCTTATCACTTGAATTTCCTTCCACAATTTGTTCACACAATTTCTTTTCAGGTATGGATACACTGATGATTTTCTCAGATTGTGACTCCCAATCCCAGCAAGCATTTTCATTGACTATTACATCTCTTGACACAATTATTTTCTTTGAGATAGGATCATAGAGTCTATACCCTTTCTCACATGTGCCATATCCCAAAAATATGCATTTTGTACTTGTTTCATCCAATTTCTGTCTAACCTGTCTTGGAATGTATGCATAACACACAGAACCAAAAATCTTTAAGTGTTTGATCCCTGGTTTTCTTCCACTATATGCCTCGAAAGGAGTCTTCTTATCAAGAGACTTGGTAGGACATCTGTTCAAAAATATACACTGATGTATTAACAGCTTCTGCCCAGAATTCAAATGGGACACCCTTTTCAATCATCATACACTTTGACATCTCAACTATGGTTCTATTCTTCCTCTCAGCTACTCCATTCTGCTGAGGTGTGTATCCCACTGTAAACTGTCTTTCCATGCCCATTTCTTCACAAAATTCCCTGAATTCAACAGATACATATTCTCCTCCTCTGTCACTTCTCAACTTCTTCAATTTATATCCACTTTGCAATTCAACTGTGAGCTTGAATTTCTTGAATACACTAAACACCTCTGACTTGTTCCTTAAGAAGTAAACTCAACACATCCGAGTGCAGTCATCTATGAAGGTGAGAAAATACTTATTTCCAGCCTTTGTAGAAATCTGCATGGGTCCACAAATGTCAGAGTGAATGAGTTCAAGAGGTTGTGTGGCCCTCCATGATGCTTCCTTTGGAAATGCATCTCTGCAATGCTTCCCAAAAGCACACCCTTCACATATCTCATTTGTCATTTCAAGATCCGGCAAACCCAACACCATATCATGCTCTTTGAGTTGTTTCAAACTGCTCAAATTCAAATGTCCTAACCTCCTATGCCAGATTTTAGAAGACTGAAACACACTAGTCTTTAGAGCAACCTGCATCTCAGGTATAAGTCTCAAAGGAAAACTTCTATTTCCCTTCATTGGTATTCTAGCTATCAGATTAGACATTGAACTATCATCATATATCTCTGCAGTTGTACCTCCAAACACTAGAAAGTAACCGTGTTCCATCATTTGCCCTACACTGAGCAAATTTTCTTTTAACCCTGGAATTAACATCACTTCTTTGATATATCTCCTTCCCATTTTGGTATCAACTACTAAACTTCCTTTCCCTGTGACTTCAATGAGCTGTCCTGTACCCATCTCTACCTTAGCAGTCATATTTCTATCAATGTCAATCAGTAACTCCTCCCTTCCAGTCATATGGTTACTACAACCACTGTCTACATACCATATATCTTCATTTTTCTTCACATTAACATTATTGCAGACATAGAACATGGTAGGAGTATCATTGACTTGATTAACAAAATTCACATGTTGATTAGTCTTCTCCTTCTTGACTCGGCAATCTCTTGCAATATGCCCCAACTTATGACAACTATGACACCTTGGTTTATCTTTGAACCAACATTCACCAAAATGCAATTTATCACAATGAATACAGGGATTCTTAGCTCATTCAGAAGTACCTGCAACTTTTCCAGTTTGATTTGCAGGTCTATGATCTCCTTTCTTCCATTTAGACTTCCAATTCTTCTGTGGTTTGAACCCTTGATTCCCATTGTACTTATTCTGTTTTGGAGCAATACTGAGACTAACAAATGCTTTCTCAGTATGAGATTCATCATGCCGATCAATTCTTTGCTCATAACCTTTGAGAATAGCTACCACATCTTGAACATCAACAATATCTAGATCCTTAGTATTTTCAATCACAGAAGCAATACTATCATAGGACCTAGGTAAACTTATTAGCAACTTTTGAACGATTCTCTGATTACTTATCTCCTCACCATAGCTTCTCATTTGACTAATCAAATCAAATAACCTAACTAGATATGCAGAGAAAGCTTCATTTTCACCCATTCTAGTATATTCAAAATCCCGGCGTAAGCCTTGGAGTTTCACAGCCCGTACCTGTTTATCTCCCACAAATTCTTGTTTCAGCACATTCCAAGCAGCATTTGCAGTCTCTTGGATTGCGATTCTCGGAAAGATCTGATCCGAAACCGCGCCTTGAATGATTCCAAGTGCCTTCGCATCTCTGACTATATTCTCCTTCAATAACTTGCTTTCAGCTACAGTAAGTTCTTCATCCTTCTTCGTCGAAGTTTCGACACCATTTTCGACGATATCCCATAGCTCGTGCGATCGGAATATTGTCTTCATCCAAATCTGCCAGAAATCAAAGTTTTCACCATTGAAAACCGGTGCACGAAGATCAGCTCCACTCGATCCAGCCATGTGAGACGAGATCTAAGATCACTACACTTTCTTCTCCGCGTTTTCTTTAGTGAGAACTCAACGGTCAGTTCGAGCTCTTCACTGTGAGCTTCACAGATTCACGCCCAGTTGCAGAGGATGCAACCTGGCTCTGAGGCCATGTTAGTTTATAGATTTGATGCTGTTTTGGAAGCTTTCTTGTATAAAAGAAAACAAAGAGTTGCAGAGAGTATTCACTAAGATGAGTGAACAAGAAGTTTCATTTCTCTTCTTTCTGGCAATCCAATGGACATTACCGAAAGCACTCACATTACAAAGCATTAGCACATTTCTCTCTCATATCAGAGAAAATACATCACAACCATTCATTTCATCTATCCTATGAGATAGCTACAGTTGTCACTCTATATCATTAACTCTCACTTAATCTAGAGCATCC